TCTCGTAAAACTATAAATAAGGATAGAGCGATAAGAATAAAGAAGAACCATCTTTCAGTCTCAACGTACTTTTCATTGTTATCCATTTTCTATTACCAAACATCACAAGCCGAACATGATAAACACTTCTCCTTGCTCAAAAAGATCCTATCTTCTGATCTCATTTTACATCATCCTGATTTACGGCATCCATTCTTTATTGCCACCGATGCCTCAAACACTGGCATTGGCGCTGTTCTTTTCCAAATCGTTGACAATGACAAACGCTACATTGAATTTGCTGCTCGAGCTTTATCAACCTCTGAAAGGAATTACTCTACCACACGACGCGAACTCCTCGCTATTGTCTTTGCATTACGTCGTTTTCATCACTTTGTATGGGGAAACCCATTTACTTTGTACACGGATCATCGTTCTCTCACACACTTGTTTACTCAGCCTATCGCCAATTCTATGATGATTAATTGGTTTGACACTCTTCTTGATTACACATTCCATGTCATTCATTTACCTGGCACTGAAAATATCTTACCCGATCATCTCTCTCGCCTTTTTGAAGGTAATACCAAAAGGCTGGAGGGGGATATGGCATATAAGCCAACTAAGTTAAGCGATGCAACACGTGAAAGGATCACCTCCGAAAGGTATGCATCCAAGACACAACGTGTTTTCCGCGTACACAAAATAGAAAACAATGACAATGAACGCATGACTGCACCAATTGAAGAACGCAACTCAATACTAGAAAGATCCCATTTATTCGGCCACATTGGAGCTGAAGCCATGGTCAAAGACATACATCATAACCAAGGTTATCATTGGACGAACATCTTGCATGATGCAGTAGACTATGTAAAGAAATGTCAAACATGCCAAAGAAACAACATCAGCAAACGAGGATACCACCCTCTAAGACCAATCTACGCATACTTACCAGGCGATCATTGGGCCATGGACCTTGCTGGTGAATTTGAGGAATCAGAGAATCATAATAAATTCCTATTGATATTGGTCGATGTATGCACCAGATTCTGCCTATTAAGGCCTATACCAAACAAAGAAGCTAAGACCATTGCTAAAGAACTAGTCAAAGTGTTTTCAGACTTTGGATACCCACGCATCATACAATCCGATAACGGTGCTGAATTCAAAAACCAGTTACTCAAAGAAGTACTCGATAACATTGGTGTCGATCACCGACTTAGCACACCGTATCATCCACAAGCCAATGGGCTAGCTGAACGATGGGTACAATCTGCCGTCATGATCATACGTAAATCAGTAGATGGCACCAGCAAAGACTGGGATTACTTTGTACCAGCCACACAATTGGCATTGAATAACAAAATATCCAAGCGTCTAAACACGCCACCATTCACATTGATGTTCGCAAGGAAGCTAAATCCTTTTCGCGACTACAGGAATGAGAAATCGTTCAAGCCTATGTCACAGGCACAGCTCTTAGAAAACATCGAGCACATGACAAACATTGTGTTTCCCGCTATAAAAGCGCGCACAGACTCCGTGATACAACAACAAAAGGAGCAATTTGACAACACACATAACATCACAAACTTTACACCTGGAGATCATGTCATGGTCAAGATACCTACGCGTACAGGCAAGCTAACACCGGTATACGAAGGCCCTTACAGGGTATTACGTAAAAATAATGGAGGTGCATATGAATTGCAAGATGAAACGGGTGAATTACTCCCTCGCAATTACACGCCTTCTGAGCTCAAATTGGTCGATCAAGATGAATTGATCCCTGCAGATGAGCTTTATGAAGTAGAATCCATTATCAATCACCGTGGCAAAGCCGGCAATCGCGAATACCTAGTCCGATGGAAAGGATACGGACCACAAGATGACTCCTGGTTAACACCTGACAAGTTTTCCTACGACAAGACTATCAAGAAGTATTGGGAACGAAGAAAAACTCACTCCACGAATAACGACCTTCCAGCATCAACAAGAAAACGTAAACGTGCAGCAACCAATGTAGACATGGACAAGCCAACACGCCGCAGCAAGCGATCACAGCAAGCTTAATTCGTCTCTCTGCCAATATACCTCGAGACTGGAAGGGGGTGATGTTGTATTCGATGTTTGTTTATGACTATGATACATAGAAGCATAGGATAGATGTTTCCATCACACATTAGAACGCTCCCTACAAGCACATGACACATCAACAACAACATAGAATAGTATAAATAGGTATCCTCCAAGCAACTAGAAATCATCATCTTTGAATCTTTGATCTCATCTAGACATAAAGCATATCAAAGAGTCCTAAAGGATTTGATCTCGTCCCTTTTATTATCATCAAATATTTCACCGGCTTTTGGTATTACGGAAAGTTATTACTCATCACAGGGAGTAAGTAACATCATATGTGAATTTCTATGCACTTTGATATTCAATAAATGTCTATCCATGTAGTGAAAGTACAATATTGCCTACATTGTATGTTGGCCGCTCATCGGCATTTGATGCCATAGTTGATGCTAAGAACCAAGCGAGCGCAGCAAGGGCGTCCCAACGTCGAATGCCTATCATAATGTGGGTGCCAGGAACCGATTTCCATAAGCTTGTCATTACCTCATCACAGCAAAGCTTTGCGTTGGCTGATATCCAAGGATTAGCTCATCATCTTGGTGAAAAGCTTGATATGATGCTGAAGAACCCTGAGCTTACTTGTGGCATTGGTGATATAACATCTGTATTCCTTGATGCACTTGGCGGAGATACTAAGGGTATACGCGATGATATGCAGAAGTTATCCGCAGGATATTGCTTCCTTAATGATCCTCTGAACAAGCTCCGTGATCTTGAGACAGCTATTGCCAGATCAATCCTATCAGCAAGCAACATTGAAGAAAGTTACCTAGTTCGATCTATTAGCCCTGATGGGTCCATTGCATGGGATCATGATGGGATCAAGAAATGGATGGGCTTAGCAAAAGAGGTGCTTACTACCATGTTCGTGTTGATCCATTTGACAAGCGGCCAACCAGCTCGTGGTGAAGAGCTCTCACTGATCCATATAACCAACACGCTGCATACGACCAGGAATATCTATTGGTCACAAGCTCATGATCGAATGATAATTGTCACTTCCTATGTTAAGAGCCGCGAGCGGACCCATCATGATAATTACATTGCACGATTCTTGCCAGAGAGTTTATCCAAGCAACTTGCAGCATACCTAGCTATTATTCGCCCATTAGAAAAGTTAGTATTCTTATGTTTTATCTTTTGTGGTGATTGGGTAAGAAATGCATCATTGGACATAACGCTAATGTAATTCACTTATTTATCATTTCTCATAAAGGCTTTTTATTTGCGAGTTGTATGGCCAGGATAAGATGGAAAGCTGTCGTCATCACCTTTTTATTGCAAATGGGAAGCCTATCAATGGATCAACTTTGCGGTACCTTTTTATGAGTCGCACACAGAAGTTTCTTGGCAAACATGTTACCTTCAATCAATATCGACACTGCGCAATCGCTTTTGCTAGGCAGCTTATCAAAAACAATGACCGCGGCAACCCTTCTATTGATTGGCAAGCAGGCCACTCTGAATACACAGCTACATTGGAGTATGCTCGTAGCGATCATGATCTCAGCTACCTTGATCCTATGGCTGCTCATGGGTTTTACCTAGCATCAAAGGAGTGGCAAGACCTTATATGTAAGTATACACATTCTTCATATGTAATGAATGCATGGTTACCTAATGACATTGATAATTGATATCTATATATAAGATGGATCATCAACCATTCTTGCTGTTGGAAAAGATAAAGATATGCAGCTGCAGCAGCAAGGTCGTGACAAGGCAAAACAGGAAGTGGCACATTATCTTGCACTCCTTGAGATGAGATCACAGATCATGCAACGTAATTTGATGCTTGAATCGGCTTTATTAACAAGACCTGAGACTGGGCTAACGGGTAATTACATATCTAGAGAGGGAGGGAAGAGGGGGGTTATGGCTAAACTACCATGCATATCTAACATTATTGCTACCATTCTTTCATTTATAGGCTCAATGAACATGATACCTTCGCATGGTATTCAACCAGGCAACATCTTTTATTGCAAGGCACTTGAGGGGCTTCATGAATATCTCGGTGATCCATCAGCTACGTTTACAAGTAGTACTCAATGCACTGCAATCGCTGCTGCTATTGAAGGTGTGCATTCTATTATGTGTGTTCTCCCAACCGGTGCAGGCAAATCTTTGGTTTTTGCTATCCCAGCCTTGATGCAAGCCTATGGAAAGATTACAGTCATTGTTGTGCCTCTGGCAGCTCTTGTGCTTGATCATGTTGATAATCTGAATGCTCGTGGTATACCCTGTATGATATGGCATAAAAATTCCACTTGCAAGCTCGGCATACCAAACACTATGCGTATCGTGGTTGTGTCTGTTGAGGCGGCAATTAGCACAGAATTCATCAATGCCTTGCAAGTCTTACATGATACAAATCGCCTTGAACGAATCGTTGTGGATGAAGCCCATTTAGCGATCACGTGGAATGACTTTAGGCCGGATATGCTCGATCTCATCTTATTGCGAAAAGTGCCAACGCAGCTGATCTTGCTGTCAGCAACCATACCACCACACGACATACAAGGGGATCTAGTAGCAGCATTTGGAACAAGGTTTGACCTTGTGCTGAGGGAACCCACATACCGACCTAAGCTCAAATATCATATCCAGTGGCATGATTCTGACACGCTTATGCGAGACGCCTTAGTAAAGCAGCTACAAAGTTTTGAGACAAGTATTGCTAATAGCGAGAGAGGCCTTGTTTTTGTGACATCACGCGATAAGGCAGAGTCCCTGGTGAAAGATTTGGAAACGCGTGTGCCATGGACCAAAGCACAGTATTACCATGGCAAGATCAGCGATGATAAGAAGAAAGATGTACTGAAAGCCTGGAAGACTGGGGAATGCAAAGTGGTGGTAGCAACATGTGCCTTCGGTATTGGCATTGATTTCAAAGAGGTGCGCTTTGTCATGCACTTGGCTGGATCATCAAGTGTATTGGATTATATACAAGAGACGGGGCGTGCTGGCAGAGATGGAACAAACGCTGAATGTATCCTATTTGCGAATCGAAAGGCTCAGGTGGCTCTGAACAACATGGATGTTAGTACTATTGTACGCCAGCAGAGACCCCTGTATGCTGGTAAAAAGGAGCTGGCAGCGATATTGCTTTCTGGTGGGTGTATACGCAAGTTGTTGCAAGCAAAGGTGGACGAGAACCCGAAGACATGCATTGTGTGATGTTTCAAATAAAGAAGAGAAGAGACAAGATAAATCCTTTAG